TTTGAGACATTGTCTTGCTCTGTCACCCTGGCTAGAGTGCAGTGGAGTCATCATAGCTCACTGCAGCCTCCAATTCCTGGGCTCAAGAGATCCTCCTGCCTCAGCCTCCCAAGTAGCTGGGACTACGGGCACATCAAGCCCAGGTAATTTTTTCTATTTTTAGTAGAGACAGGTTCTCACTCTTGCTCAGGCTGGTCTCAAATTCCAGAGCTCAAGTGATCCTCCCGCCTCAGCCTCTCAGAGTGCTAGGATTACAGGTGTGAGCCACTGTGCCCAGCCCTGCATATATTTTTAAAAAGAGATCCTAAAATACAGGTTTATGTCTTGATCTAAGTCCTGGCTGAGGTGGAAAGGGGCAGGGGGAAGGGGAGGGGGTAAAAGGGAACTTCTGGCAAATGAAAGAAGGAAGTCACACACCTGTTGTTCAAGACAACCCTATGTGAATTCTTGATGTGTAGCAATAGCACAGTCACGACCTTACTTTACACTCTGCATCAGCAGGTTGCACCAGGGACATCTCAGGGAAAACATAAAATGTGAAAAAGTGATTCTCTTCATAAAAGACAATTTTCTCTGAAGACCTCAGGTTCCATTAAGGCAGGAGGCAATACTGAGTTTCTCTTCTTGTAACTATTAGACGAAATAAAACCTGAATGAACAAGATTTTTGCTTTTTGCTATTTATCAGTAGTATATCACGACGAAATATGCAAACAACATTCTTAAGTAAACTGCCTCAATCAAAAACGGAAAACCAAAAAACTAGAATATAATTTTGCTGGGGCGATCTTACTTTCCCGTTTTTCTGTTTTATTCTTTCCTGTCCTTTTATTCCACACTATTTTGCATTTTCCCAGAAGTCATCCATCATTCAGTCTCGTCCAGAAGGGTTAAATTCGATTAGTTGGCTGTTAAACATCGTGTGCTTCCTTAAAAACAAAAGAACTTGTAAAAAACAAAACCAAAGACAACCTCGATGGCATGAAAAGTTGGAACCTATCAGGAGGCTCTTGGAAACTTGGGCAGCTTCATTTTTCTGCTCGGGATTTAGATTTCTATCTCGAGTTACTTTGCAGATAGTGTCGCCTATTAATCTCCCCGTACGCCTCCGGGAACCAGCAACAATTCCTTCTCTTCCCCAGTCGCGCTCCACAGTAGAGAGTATCTTATTTTCTAACGCTGAACTGGGGTCAGAGGTGACGCGAGAGAGTTTCTAACCGAATGGCGTAGAAATAGGAAGGAGAAATACAGAAGTGGCTAAAGAGCGGCCCGGGAGCAGGGGACGCTGGCGCCGGCGCCGCCCACGGGGAGCCGGGGCAGTGGGGTCGCGAGACTGACTCCGGCGACCTCCAGAAGGGGCCGCGGCCGCGCTGCGGGGCCGGCGGACGGAGAGGCAGGCAGAGGCCGCCATATTCCCGCCGTACCACGCCCGGGCGGCCGGCCGGCAGCCGCAGGTTGGCGGCGGCCCTGGCACGCAGCGGCGGCCACCGGTTCGGGCCGCGCGTCGCGGACCCGGCCCGGCCCCGCCCCGGCCGGGGGCGGCTGTGACCGTTGCGCCCGCGGGCTCCGCCGAGGGCGCGGGAGCGGGAGGCGCCCGCAGAGCCCGAGGGGGCCGGCCCAGCCAGGGAGCAGCGCGGGCGGCGAGAGCCGCACTGGGAGGCGCGCCGCGGCGGCTGCGAGCCCAGGAAAGCCTTCCAGGAGGGGCCGGGCGGCACCGCCTCCTGCCTCCCCTCCTCCCGCACCCGATCCTCCTCCTCCCACTCCTCCTCCTCCTCCCGCCGCCGCCGCCGCCTCCCTCCCGGATCTGTGCTCCAGTTCAGAGAAAGAAGAAAATGTGTGTGTGTGGCGAGGGGGAGGGCGAGCACTGAGCAGCCGCTCCGCGCCTGGCAATCGGGGCCGGGGGTGGGCGTCTGGCGGAGGCGGAGGCGGAGGAGCGCGCGGCGGCCGGGCGGGCCGGCGAACAGGGTTTGCGCGCCAGCCGGGCGGTGGGCGCGGGCAGGGCCGAGGGCGCCCGGGAGCCGTGTCAGGCGGCGGCGAGGAGCGGGGACGCCCCGGTGAATGTGCTCTCGCCGCCAGGCGCGCGGCTTAGGGGAGCCTCGGAGGCGGCGGCGGCGGCGGCGGCGCGGGGGGCGAGGCGGGCCGCCCGTTCCCGGGGAAGGAGGCGCGGGCGTCTGAGCGAGGCCGGGCGCGGCGGCCTTTCTTCGCGCGCCCACCGAGCCAGCGCCCGCGGCCGCCTCCCGCGCCCGCCTCGCTCCTCCCGGCGGCTCAGGCCGCCCGCTCCCGCCGCGCCCCCGGCCCACCTGGTGGCCCCGGCCCTGGCCGCTGCCCCCGCGGCGGTTCCCCGAGCTCGTCCCGGACGCGCGCCCGGGCAGCGGGGGCTCGGCGGCCACCGCTGCCTCGGGGGAGCGAGGGCGGGAGGGTGTGTGTGCGCGCTGTGAGCAGGGGGTGCCGGCGGGGCTGCAGCAGAGGCACTTTGGAAGAATGACTCTGGAGTCCATCATGGCGTGCTGCCTGAGCGAGGAGGCCAAGGAAGCCCGGCGGATCAACGACGAGATCGAGCGGCAGCTCCGCAGGGACAAGCGGGACGCCCGCCGGGAGCTCAAGCTGCTGCTGCTTGGTGAGTACGGCCCGAGGCCGGCCGCCGCGGGGCCTCCCGCCGGCCCTCTGCGACCCCCGCCCACCGCCCCGGCCCTTCGGGGCAGCTGCCCTACGCGCCCCCCGCCCCCGGGAGCCCGCGGCTCGCCCCTACCCTCCCGGGCGCGCCCCCGGCCACCACCCGCACCCGCGCGGGCGCGCGCTCGCGCGACACACACACACACACACACACACACACACACACACACACACACACACACACACACACACACAGTCACACACGCCCGCGCGCACACGCAGCTGAGGGGTCGGGGTGCCCTGTCCGGTGCCTCAGCGTGCGCCTTTTCGTGTCCCTGAGGGCTGTGCTTTATCTGCTGTGCTTGTGCTAAATGGCAGATCACTTCGGGGCAGAGGCGCGGGGGTGGAAAGGTGGGCTGAAGGGTTGAACTTCCAGTGTCGTGGCCGTGGCGCCCCGTGGGGTGGCGGAGTGGGGAGCTGTGTGTGTGTGGCCCGGAGGGTGGCGAGCCGAGCCAGAGCACGTTGGGGGGTGGCTTGTGTGCATCCATTGTCAGTGCATTCTGGGGTCATGGAGGGAATGGTGGAACAGTGGGCAGACTCGCGACTGGATTCTTCAAGGAGTAATGATGAGGAAGCCGAGTGGTTGGCTCTGCAAAGAAAGGGCCTGTGTATTGGGGGCGGGGCGGGAGGGCAAGCCCAAATGTGTCACATAAGTGCTGTTCTTTAGCCATCAGACCATGGAAAGGAGGGAGCCCAGAAGAGTTTCTCGGTCAGTGGATGGTGACAGGCATGTTTCTAGTCTGTACCATTCCTTCCGGATAAAGATGTGGGCTAGGGGAGCCTTGTGCTGTGTGGTTGTTGACGGCGACGGGTATCTTTTGTTTAACGAGGCAACCCAGATGTAGGCCTGAATTCACAATAGTTGCTACTGAAAACCAATGCAGTCTCTCAGTTACTCTCATGCAAACAAATAGAAACCTTTTGTTTAAAACAGACAGCATTTTAATATCTTTGGAATCTGGGCTGGAAGGAAAACGGGAAGCGCCCAGCAAAAATTTCCCTCTAATCTCCAAAGAAACCCCAACCTTCTGCTTTAACACTAAGTTAGCAAGAAAATGCCATTTCCCAAATAGGAATTCTATTGATTATTATCTCTTGAGAAAATGTTCAGAGTCAAGCTATCAGGGTTCACATACAAGCCAGCATGACATAACTCTGAGCTATTGTGGTAGGAAGAGCAAACAGCTTTGCAGTAATAGGCCTGAAAAATGTCTGCACTTGTGTTCTAGGTATTTGCATGTATGATAAATACGTTTCTCAAACATTTCTGTAAGAAAAGAATATTGTACAGTTCGGATTTGAGAAGCATGCATTTTCTTATCTTGAGCATTCCATTTGCTGGCTCAAGGAACCAATTGCCTTTGGGGACTGAACTGCTTTTGTACTGGATCGTTTACAAGCAGGAACAAAATATAATGACACACATAGTTACAAATGGTTAATTCACATGCCATGCTTTATGTCTTCATTTTGAAATCTGATTAGATAAATGTGCACATGTCTATAAAGAAGAGAAGGCAAAGAAAGCACTGGATGAGGGAGGTGGGCTTGAAATGAAGCTAGGGGAGGGGAAAACTGCAGTTGGAAGTGAAGGTCTTTTTTTTTTTTTTTTAATTCTAATGGCTGGAAACGTGCAGTTCAATGTTTTCTGAATTCTCAAGACTGAGAAGAAAATAGAGAGGGCAAGAGAAATATATAGTGTTTAAGTGCACGATTAAGGGGAAAAACATGTCTTTTAGAGAGACTTGTTTTAGAACTGGGTTTTCTTCTTGTTTTGTCCTGTTTACAGTCTTTGTTTCTGGTTAGCTGTGACCAGGGCTTTTGAGGTCTCTCCAGCCAACCCTGTTTGTCTGAAATGTGACAGTTATGGGTTTCCAAGCAGCTATGAGTTAAAGCCTCCAGGGGTTTGTCAAAGGGCCTGGATTTGAATGTCTAAGAGGGAAATACACTTATATGGATGCTTCATTGCAAAATGAACTTGGAGATAATTTTCTGAGAAAAAAATTTAAATCAGTTTTACTGCTAAAGTGGTAGTAGTGTTGAGAACTTTCCCCCCTCTTATTAGATATGTGAAGAGGGTTTAATACAGCCCCAACCCCTCCCCCAAATAGGGCTTATTAGTAGTGGTAGAAAAATATGAAATTAATATAGCCCTTACATTTATGAGTAACATTCAAAAATTATACAACTTTCTGTCAGAAATATGATCCCTGGACATCATGTAAGAATTGCTGCTGGTTCATGTTCTAGGTATGTTTCTTTTGTAACATAATACCTACACTATTTATATAGTAGTAATATATACTACATGTAGATTTGTGCTTGCATGTGTATCAGTGTGTGATTTTACGATTTTTTGAATCCAGGAAGGTTTGGCTTGAACAAGGGAAGGTATTGGGGTGGGGTTTCATTTGAGGAATTCCTGATTTGCTGCTTTGATGAGTAGATTGGATTTTCTAGTTCCTTCCTTCATTTAAACAAAACCTATCCAGAGGAGGGTACAGAACATATCCTTTGACAGTTTAAAGATCTAATATGTTTAACCAGTTGATTTAAATGGAGGAATCAACCTTATATTGAAATAAAATTCAGTAAAAAATTATTTTCAAAGTAAATTTTTGTTGAAGGCATGATGCCATTTTAATGGAAAAAGATTTGTTTGGCAGGCATAAAAATTTAGACCCTTGCATTTGCTTGCATATTTACTTTTATATATGTATTTATTAATAATATGGGGAAATTAGAAAAGGAAAATAGTGGTTACCTGACTAGACGAATGTGTGGCAGTAAAATTTGGGCTGTTTTGATTTATATCTGACAATTATGCCAGTGTCTTCCAAATCTATTCCATAGTACTTACGTATTTTGATTTTTAAAAAATGAACCCTGAAATCTGCCACCATAAGAACATTATATTAAATTCTGAATTCTTGTCCTCTTTTAACTTATTCATTCTCTGAATTCATTTATGTTAGTGTTTATTTTCTTTGACACCCAAAGAAAACTTTCTCTTCATATTCTACATAGATATACAAGAGCATACTTTATTTTAACTTGATTGATATTTTTACATGCTTCCTAGGTATAAAATACCTAGATTGATTAATTGATTGATATTTGTGAATATTCACTTTAATCGATGAATTTTCATGAACATTCACTAAATATTTCTATTGGTGGTACATAGGTCACATCATTTAATGTTAATTTGTCTTTAAGTCTATATAAAGCAAGTGGCCCTAAATGCTTGCTTCAGGTCACAGATACTCATCCTGACATTTTTTTTCAGTTCTTAGAAGATACATTTTTTTTTTCTATTAACGTGTTCTTATTTTGCATGTTTTGAAATCTTTACTTTTTAGATCTTAATCATCAAATAGGAAGATTTAGCAAACCCTCTATTGATTGGCTTCCACCTACTGAAAACAGGCAAAGTTTAGGCCAGTTTTAAATGGAAGAATAAATGTTCTTAGTCTCCTGAACTGGATTATACATATGATTGTAGATTTTTTTCCTATCCTACAAACCAAGCTTATGAGGGTAGGGATTGTGTCTATTTTGTTCACTATTAAATCTCAACTTCAAGCACAATATCTAACTCATAGAATGCTGTCAGTTAATATTTGCTGAATGAATGAATTTGTTTATGACCCTCCTGCTAGAAACTGGGAGTAGACAATCATGAATAAATTATAGAAACATGGGGATATGTAGTGTTTTTATCTGTGGCAGATGTAATCATGATCTTCTTAAAAATTGTATGTAACTCTTCGAGCCAATTGAGTATA